ATCCATCCATCCATCCATCCATCCATCCATCCATCCATCCATCCATCTATATATCCATCTATATCCAGCCATCTACATATCCATCCATCCATCCATCCACCCACCCACCCACATGCATATGTGTCTCTGCAGGATGTGCCAAAAGTAGCAAAGCTTCAAAGCGCACTAAGACTCTCGGGTCCCCGTGTGCGTATCCACACACTGTACATACGCGTGCCGCGGCTCAGCGTCCGCGCACAGCGCGTCCCCGCAGTCTTAGTGCCCTCGTAAGCCGGAGCTCCCCGGGGCCCTGCAGACGGACGGAGGAGACACAAGGCTATCTGAGGGTCAAGGCAGGAGGTCTCTGAGGCCAGCAGCCCAGAGCTCTTTATTGGCACGGCTCCGCGGGGTCTAGGCGCTGGGGGTGGCGCCGTCGGGGGGCTCCTCGTGGTCGGCCCCGAGGCCCCGGGCGCGGTTGAAGACGCCGTGGGTGGGGCGCCCGCACACGGGGCAGCCCGGGGAGGTGCGGTGGTGGCGCAGGGCGCAGGCCCCGCAGAAGCAGTGGCCGCACGGGGCGGCCACGGGGCTGCGGAAGGGCAGGCAGCACAGGCGGCAGCGGCGGGAATGGCGGCCGGGCGCGGCGGCGTCGCGGCCCAGCTCGTAGGCGGCGGCGTCGGGGGCGCCGTAGCGGCCCTCGCGCACCTCGCGCTCGATCTGCCAGCCCGGCTTGTAGTCGGAGCGGTCGTGCAGGAACTTGCAGCTGTCGCCGAAGCCGCAGAAGCCGGTCTCCTTGTAGTCCTTGCACACGTCGGGCTGGTAGTCCCAGCGCACGGTGGCGCGCAGGTGCTCGGGGGCGCGCAGGGGCCCCCTGCGGCCCCGGGGCCGGGCCGGGCGGGCCGCGTCCGCCTCGCGGCCGGCCGTGGCGCCCATGTCCTCGGGCCCGGCCGGCTTGGCCGAACGGCTGGACGGGTAGAGCACGGCCAGGCCCGGGGCGCGGCCTTGGTCGTCGCGGCCCCCGCCGCGCCCGCCGCGCCCGCCGCTCCCGCCGCGCCCGCCGCTCTTCTGGACCATGGGGTTGGGGGCGGCCCGCTTCTTGTCCGGCCGCACCACGGCCGGGCCCTCGTCGCTGCTGCTGCTGCTGCTGCTGCTGCTGCTGCCGCCGTCGGGCCGCTCCTCCCCGGCCCGGCGTCTCCGGCGGCGGCCCGACGGCGGCGGGCGGCCCAACTTCCTGAAGAGGAAGGGGCCGAGCGGCCCCGACGGCGAGGGCGAGGACGACGGCCCATCCTCGGCCATGGCGGAGAGCGGGGGAGGGTCCGCGGAGCTCGGGTTCGGGTCCGGTCCGGGTCGGCGCCCCAGGGGTTAGGAGGCGATCCCGGCCCCGCCCTGGCGACTTAGGTCTGAGCCTAGGGAACGACGGTGTGGGCGTGAGGTCACGAGGTCCTAGCCTGGGGGGAGGGGGGGAGTAAGGGAGCTGAGGATACTGATAATGATAATATGATATACTATAATATAATAATATAATAATAACTCGCAATTCTGTAGCGCTTCAGGGGATATGTGGATCAGTGTAGGAATGAACACACGTATTCCTACACACAGGAAAGAGATGCCTATATCCATTCATATGCTCATAATTGTATATATGAATATGTATGCACTAATATCCATGCATGTGTATATCTGTATATACGTACATACATCATTGCTTCAAGTGTTACATATATACATATATCCACGTGAGCGTATGTGGGGGAGGAAGAGACAGAGACAGAGACAGCCCGTTTGATCATCATAACCACCCTGGAAAGGAGGTACAGCTGTTTTCGTCCCCGTTTTACAGATGAGGAATCTGAGGCAGACTTCACCTCGCCTGATCTGCCGACACCCAGTGGACGTTTGAGGCAAGATTCTAACCCTCACCACCTAGCTCTTTCTAACGTTGGCAACAACAAAGAATAAAAGGTAACATTTATATAGGGGCTTCCTGCTGTGGGGTCTGGGAAGCTTGCTCTAATAATTACAGCTAGCATTTATGTGCCTTTTCAGTGTCCTGGACCCCTTGGGTAGGCTGTGAATCCTATGGAGTTCTCAGAATAATGTTTTTAAAATATATAATATAAAATATACGGGATTATGTAGAATAAAATATACGGGATTATATAAAATAAAACATACAGGATTCCAAAGGAACCTAATTATATTGAAATTACAGCAGATCTGTAGTCATATGAAAAAATGCTCTACATCACTATTGATTGGAGAAATGCAAATCAAAACAACTCCGAGGTACCACATCACACCTATCAGATTGGCTAACATGACAAAACAGGAAAATGATAAATGCTGGAGAAGGTGTGGGAAAAGTGGACCGCTAATGCATTGTTGGTGGAGTTGTGAACTGATCCAACCATTCTGGAGAGAAATTTGGAACTATGCCCAAAGGGCTATAAAAATGTACCCACCCTTTGACCCAGCAATAGCACTTCTAGGGCTGTATCCCAAAGAGATCATACAAATGGGAAAAGGACCCACATGTACAAAAATATTCCTAGCAGCTCTTTTTGTGGTGGCAAAGGATTGGAAATTGAGAAGATGCCCATCAGTTGGGGAATGGCTGAGCAAGCTGTGGTATATGAATGTAATGGAATACTGTTGTGCTCTAAGAAATGATGAGCAGGCAGACTTCAGAAAAACCTGCAAAGACTCGTATGGACTGATGCTGAGTGAAGTGAGTAGAACCAGGAGAATGTTGTTCACAGTAACAGCTACGTTGTGCAATGATTGACTTTGGTAGACCCATCTCATCTTAGCAATGCAAGGATCCAAGACAAAAGGACTCGTGATGGAAAATAACTGTCTACATCCAGAAAAAGAACTGTGGAATCTGAAACACATTCTTTGCTCTCTCTCTTGTCTTTTTCTTTTACTTTTTCTTTTGTTTCTTCTTTCTTGTAGTTTCTTCCATCAGTTTTAATCTTCTTTACAACATGACTAATGTAAAAATCGATTCAATATGAATGTGTATGTAGAGCCCATGTCAAATTGCATGCAGTCTTGGGGTAGGGGGAGGGGAGAGATGGGGAGAAAATTGGGAACTCAAAATCTTATGGAAGCGAATGCTGAAAACCAAAAATGAATAAATAGATAAATAAAAGAAATTCACTTAGAATGCTGAAAAACAAAGATAGGTTTAAGGATCCCAGGTTAGAGAGCCCTTGATTATAGCCCTCTTAAGATTTGCAAAATACTTTATGTAGGGTGTCTTATTTGATCTTCACAACAATTGTCCCCATTTTAGGGAAAAAAAAGCTCTTTGAGGCAAGGGCCATTGTTATTACCATTTTACAGATGAGAAAACTGAGGTAGATTAAGTGACGGGGTGGTGGTGTCACACAGCTTGTAAGTATTTGAGGCAGATTTGAACTCATTTTCCTATCCACTGAGCTACTTAACTGCTTATGTAGAGTGAGTAATGAGGAATACGCGGTAAAGAAGAAAATCAAACCAGCCCCAACCAAAGAAATAATTCATTAGTTATAGCAATATTTGAAATAACTTCTTAAAAGGAAACCCACCAAAGACAAACATTTTCACACAGTCCTTAACAGGAGTATTTGAGAGATGCTCCCAAAATGTTCCCAATACTTTGTCCAATTATCCATCTTAACAAATGATAATTGACAGCCCTGGCCATTTTCTTCTGCATCTGCTCTGGTTCCAGATCTCTCAGCCCTTTGCTTCGAAGACTGATATAAACAGTTTAAATCATGACGTTGTCCTAGTGAAGGCGGCGGCTGGGATATGGTACAGAGAGCTGGTCTCCCGTTTAACTTTGAATTCTCACACAAACTGGCTGTGTGACCTCAAGCAAGTGACTTCACCCCTGAGTGCTCTAAGCATCTTTGTTCTGTAAATTACGGAGAAGATGCCAGCTTGCAATGGTATTTCCTGGGATTTCCCAATATGAGTGAAATCCTAGTCCTAGTACCTATCTGTATTCTAGTAAAATATTTCAAAAATGTGCTATTGGGTTGGGATGGGGGAACAAAACCATTGTGGATTGGAGAGAGAACTACTTCATGATTCTAAAAAAATACTGATTAGGAAAAGGTTGGGAAGCCCTTGGCTTCTTGTATTTTAAGTGCCTGACCCAGTGCCTGGCACATAATAGGCCCTTAATCAATCGCTTGTCCTTCCGTGGGCCTTTTGCTTTTGTTGAGAAAAGGCAGCAATGAAGAGGTACATTTTGCAGACACATCCTCTACTGGGGATCCTGAGATCTAAATAACTGGAGAGTCACTTCTAACTTGTGTCTGATGCTCAAACTAGTGGGTTTTCCCCAGAAAGTCTCAACATTCTTCTAAATGCACATTAACTTAAGTGAAAAATCTCCTATTGCATATTCCAGCTTCTACCAAGCAGAGCCTCTCTGGGAAAAGGGCTAAGATTGGTTTGTTTTCGTTCCCCCAAGGGTAAGCCAAATACTTTTAATGTGTGGGGGAGTGGACGTTAGCTATGTTGCTGACCATGCATAACAACAGGAGAAATGGAACATTTCTCACTGAATGGAATTGTTATGAGTGACGGGCCAGCCAAGGAAAATCACTTTCAAACTTTCTTGTTTGTTTAAATGCTTTGATTATGATGATTGTAATTCTATCTCCATGTAAAGGAGTAAATTAAAATAAAAGAAAAAAAAACAGCCCACAAAGCTAAACCTGATACTTCTGTGAGTAAGGAAAACCAAAGAAAATATCACACTTTATAAAATCCCAACGCCCCCAGGTTTCCTGGTGTTGCTGTGGGAAAATAAAAATACATTGTGAGTCCTGCTGGTTTGTATTTTAAGGGCCCAGTCAGTCTTCCCTTTTAGATGTGCTTCAAAATGCTTGGCGAGGCTGTAGGTCAACCTAAAAGCATTAGGAAATGAGTGGGAGCTTGACCCCGAACTTTGGGATTTCTTGCTTTGTGGCTATGGCAGAGTCCCGGGAGGGTTCCCTTAGGCTAATGGGATCTTTGCAGACAAGCACTGGCTATTACAGGAGGCATATAACTTAACCAGATGCTTTCCAAGCAATAATGGCTGAAGCCTGTGGCTGCCTCCTAACAGATACGGTTTTTGTTTTTTTTTAAGCGGGAATGGGGTCATCATTGACATCTATAGAATTGCACGTATAATTATTTCAACCTCTCAGACTATGAACAAGATTGTATGTGATTGTAAAAAGATGCCATCATCAGACGAAATAAATATGAGGCAGTTGAGATAGGAGGTAGGAGGACTGCAGAGAATTCTGGGAAGAGCTTTATGAAATAATGCAAAGTGAAAAAAAGAAACAGAAAAATGGAATAATAATGCTTATGATCATGAAGAAAAGGGAATGAAGATGAGGGTCCATCAAATCCTAATGTGGGTTTGTTAGAATAACCCTAACCCTAACCTGGTGAACTTAAACACTTCTTTTTTCGTGTTTCAGAATAATTGGCTTCCTTTGTAATACCATATGTTATTCCATACATTTAAATGTTCATTCATGTGTGTTAAGGTTCAAATGAGTTTAATAAAAAAAAACAACCCATAGTAAATTAATAGAGCTGACCACTGACTACACTGTATTCTAAGGGAAACACAAATATACTGCATGAGCTCCTGACTGCCCTTCCAGGGGATACAAAGGTCAGAGTGTTATACAACACAGCATTGAAGACGGCAAGGACAAATCTTAGACTACACAGCTGAGCAGCTGTGTTTATAGCAATAAGCTCAGAGGTGCCTTCAACTTCCTGACTCTCATGACTCTCCCAAGAGTTGGGCTAGACTGACCAGGGTTTGCCAGCACTGAAGGCAGTATGAAAGTAGCCTAAACACTTGGTTTAACCCAAAAAGATGTGGGGAAGTCCCGATTTCCAGTCTTGCACAGTGTCATCAAGGGCCCTTTATTGTGATTATTGCCAACATACAGGCCTGGCTCTGTAGAGGATGTCCCAAAAGTATTAGTGCAGGTTAAAGCTTTAGATGCCTGTATAAAATTGTTAACTCTGAGACTGTAAGTGGTATGTCTTTGGGGGACAGAGTCTCAAAAATAGCAATTAGGATATAAAAGACCCTTCTGGGGATAGATACAGGCTCTGGAGTAAGTGTACCAATAATGCTTCCCTTTTGGCAATGGGAATCTAGGTTTTCCCAGAAGTTAACAGCATTTGGAAGGTATAGGGCCATTGGTAAATGATTACTACTCCTGGGATAGCTCACAGGGATCAATGATGACAATTAGAGCTTTTTATGTTCACCA